GAGGGAGAAGCAGACTCCCTGCCGAGCAGGGAGCCCGACGCGGGACTCGATCCAGGGACTCCAGGATCATGACCTGAGCTGAAGGCAGTTGCTTAACCAACTGAGCCACCCAGGCGCCCCAACAAAAGCTTTTTATATTGATTTAGTCCTAATAGTTAAGTTTGCTTTCATTTCCCTTGTCTGAGGAGACATGTATATAAATATGTTGCTAAGGGTGATGTCCAAATTACTGCTTATGTTTCCTTGCAGGAGTTTTGTGGTTTTAGGATTCACATTTAGGTCTGTGATCCATTTTGAGTTTATTTTTGTGTACGGTCTAAGAAAAGGGTCCAATTTCATTCTTTTGCATGTAGCTGTCCCATTTTTTTCTGCACCATTTATTGAAAAGGCTGTCTTTTCCCCACTGTAAATTCTTGCCTTTGTCATAAATTAATTGACTGTATAGGCATGGGTTTCTTTCTGGGTTCTCTATCCCGTTCCACTGATCTATGTATCTATTTTTTATGTCAGTACCATACTGCTTGGATTACTGTAGCTTTGTCTCATATCTTGAAGTCTGGAATTGTGATACCTCTGGCTGTGTTCTTCTTTCTCAAGATTTCTTCGTCTATTCAACGTATTTTGTGGTTCTCTACAAATTTTAGGATTATTTGTTCTGGTTCTATGAAAAATGCTATTGGTATTTTTATAGGGATTGCATTGAATCTGTAGTTTGCTTTGGGTAGTATGGACATTTTAATGTTAGTCTTCCAATCCATGAGCATGGTATATTGTTCCATTTGTGTCCTCTTCAGTTTCTTTCATCAATGTCTTACAGTTTTCAGAGTATAGGTCTTTCATCTCCTTGATTAAGATTATTCCTAGGTATTCTTTTTGGTGCAAGTGTAAATGGTTAGTATCATATAGTAGAAATGAAACAATTCTCTGTTAATTTTGTATCCTGTAAATTTACTGAATTCATTTATCAGTTCCAATAGTTTTTTGGTGGAGTCTGTAGGATTTTCTGTATGTGGTGTAGCATGTCATCTGCAAATGTGCTAGCTTAACTTCTTCCTTGCCAATTTGGAAACCTCTTTTTTCTTGTCTGATTGCTGCAGCTAGGACTTCCAGTACTCTGTTGAATAAAAATGGTGAGAGTGGACATCCTTGTCTTGTTCCTGATCTTAGAGAAAAACCTTGATTTTTCAGCATTGAGTATGATGTTAGCTGTGGGTTTTTCACATATGGCCTTTATTATGTTAAACCCATTTCATTAAGAGTTTTTATCATGAATGGATGCTGTATTTTGTCAAATGCTTATCTGCATCTATTGAAATGGTCTTATGGGTTTTATGTTTCCTGTTGTCACTGTGATACATCACATTGACTGATTTGCAAATATTGGATCACCCTTGCATCCCTGGAATAAATCTCATTTGTTCGTGGTGAATGATCTTTTTAATGTATTGTTGTATGCAGTTTGCTAATATTTTGTTGAGGATTTTTGCACTGTGTTCATCAGAGATCCTGGCTATAGGGTTTTGGTGTTTTTTTTTTTTCTTTTTTTTCTCCCTCTTTTAACAGTGTCTTTGGTTTTGAAATCAGGGTATTGATGGCCTTGTAGAATGAATTTGGAAGTTTTCCTTCCTCTTCTATTTTTTAGAATAATTGGAGACTAGGTATTAACACTTCTTTAAATGTTCAGTAGAATTCACCTATGAAGCTGTATGGTCCCAGACTTTTGTTTGTTGGGAGTTTTTGATTACAGATTCAATTTCATTACTAGTAATTGGTCTGTTCAAATTTTCTGTTTCTTCCTGAATCACTTTTGGGAGATTGTATATTTCTCAGAATTGATCTGTTTCTTCTAGGTTGTCCAATTTATTGGCATATAATTTTTCATATTTTCTTACAATCTTTTGTATTTCTCTGCTATCAGTGGTTATTTCTTCTCCTTCCTTTTTAATTTTATTTTAGTTCTCTTATTTTCTGATGAGTCTGGCTAAAGGATTATCAATTTTGGTATTTCAAAGGACCAGCTCTATCTCTTTTTTTGTTTGTTTTTAGTTTTTCACTTATTTCTGCTATAGTCTTTATTATTTCCTTCCTTCTGCTTTCTGCTAGCTTTGGGGTTTGTTCTTTTTCTAGCTCCTTTAGGTATAAGTTTAGGTTGTTTGAGAGTTCTCTTGTGTGTTGAGATAGGCCTATATTGCTATAAACTTCCTTCTTAGAGCTGCTTTTGCCACATCCCAAAGATTTCGGGCTGCATTGTTTCCATTTTCATTTGTGTCTGTGTATTTTTTTTAATTTTCTCTTTGATTTCTTTGTTGACCCATTCATTGTTTAATAGCAGTTTAGCCTTCATGTATTTGTATTCTTTCCAGAGTTGTTTTTATAATTGATTTCTAGGGGCGCCTGGGTGACTCAGTTAAGCGTCTGCCTTCAGCTCATGTCATGATCCCAGGGTCCTGGGATCGAGCCCAGCATAGGGCTTCCTACTCAGTGGGGAGCATGCTTTTCCCTCTCCCTATGCTGCTCCCCCTGCTTGTGCTTGGTCTCTCTGTCAAATAAATAAATAAAATCTGTAAAAAAATTATTTTTATAATTGATTTCTAGTTTCATACTGTTGTTGAAAAAAACACTTCATAGGACTTCAGTCTTTTAAAAATTTTTGAGACTTGTGTTGTGGCCTAACATTTGATGTATCCTGGAGAATGTTCTGTATGCACTTGAAAAGAAGGCATATTCTGTTTTTTAATGGAATGTTCTGTATATATCTGTTAGGGCCACCTGGTCTAATTATGCCACTCCCATCTGGCCTGCAAAGTTTCTGCTGAAAAAATCAGCTGATAGTTGTAGGGGATTTCCCTGTGTGTAATGGTTTTCTTTTCTCTTGCTGCTTTAAAAATTCACTCTATATCACTGCTTTTTGCCATTTTAATTATAACGTATCTTGGTGTAGACTTCCTTAGATTCATCTTGTTAGGGGCTCTCTGTGATTCCTAAAATGTGTGATGTCTCTTTTCTTTCTTAGATTAGGGAAGTTTTCAGTTATTTCTTCAAGTAAGTTTTCTGCTCCCTTCTTTCTCTCTCTCTCTCTTCTGGGATCCCTATAATGTGAATGTTGTTACTCTTGACGATGTTGTTGAGTTCCCTTAGCTGATCTCATTTTTTATTCTTTTTTGTTTTTGCTGTGCAGCCTGATTACTTTCCATTACTCTGTCTCCCAGATTGTTGATCTGTTCTGCATCCTCTGATCTGCTTTTGATTCCTTCCAGTGTATTTCATTTTTTGAATTCTTCAGCTCTAACTGGTTCTTTTTTGTATTTTCTCTTTGTTGAAGTTCTCACTGAGATCATCCACTCTTTTTTCACATCGAGTATTTTTATGACCATTACTTGGAACTCTTTATCAGGCACATTAGTTACTTGTTTCATTTAGCTCTTTTACTGTGATTTTGTTCTTTCATTTGGGCCATATTCCTCTGTCTCCTGATTTTGTCTAACTCTGTGTGTGTTTTTGTGCAGTAGGTTAGTCAGCTACATCTCCTGGTCTTGAAAGTTAGTGGCCTTAGGGCGCCTGGGTGGCTCGGTCGTTAAGTGGCTGCCTTCGGCTCAGGTCATGATCCCAGGGTCCTGGGATC